GTCTGTGCTCTGCCGTACAGGTAGTAGTACTCAGTAGTATTTACAATGTATTGTGCTCTAGAGTCAGTACTAGGTTGGCGCCAACGACTGCATGTGGTTGGGCGATATCATTGAATCGACCAGACGCCTCCCTCGTCCCCCGTGTGCAAACGGTCCAAAGCCTCGACCCCTTCCATGGCCTTCGCGTCGCCTTCATATTTCCTCTGGTCGACAGGCTCGCGTCCTTGATTCTTTTTTTTTCGCTTCTTCCTCTGCGCGCTGGTTCTACGTCCACCTCTCCCTCTCTCTCTCTGACGTTGTTCATTCCGCACCATTTGTTCGTTCCTTTTACAGTCCCGAAACCCACGTTGATTCTTGGGTCGTTCGATTCCAGTCCCTATCGCCCAGTGCGAAGTCTTTTACACCAGCAACGAGCCTCAAAATAGTTTCAAGGCCTATCTCGAGTCCAACGTTGACCGTTCCTTTCGCAGCAGAAGCAGACTGACAGCCCGCGGTTGTCACCTGGCCGCCTCTCTCACACTCTCTCGGCAAACGGCGCAAGCCTTACTCTCCCTTTCAGCTTCACTTTCATCTCATCATCATTTTTCTCACCCCCAGTGGGCGTCGCCGATTCCACCACACTGGAACTGGATTTTCCCGTGTGTGCCACCAACTTGCGCAACTATTGTGCTCGAGTCCAGCTGGGAAATCGCTTCATCTTGCCCGTCACGGTGCTCCTGTGTGCCAAGCAGCATTGACGCGCCGAATCAACTTGGTCCCTTGCACCCTTTGTGCCCTCAAAGTCAGCGTCATCAGCCAACCGTCGCCCGTCGTCGCCCCCGTCTCACCATAGACTCTCACAGGACCAAGCATATCCGCATCCACATCTGCCATCCTGCTATCAACCAGACTTGTCAACGACCCACCACTCACATCTTTCTTTGTGTGAACCAGGAGCTTTGTTCGACATCTTCCCCCCCAGGCTTTGGATATCTTTTCTTTGCGGTTGGGACGCGGCCGGATTTTATATATCGGCAGCATTCATTTTAGCCGCCGAAGCCGGGATTTGTTCATCGACTCACGACGTGCAGCCCACGTCAAACACCTTCCCCGTTCAGTCCGTGGATGCAACTGTCAGCAAGTCGCCCACTCACACCCGCTGCACCATCTGGTCCTTTTGCGCTAGTCACCGCTTCTCCAGCGCTATCAACAGCCCGCGATCCTCTGTAACGTTCCTCAGCGAGACCCATTTGGGCAAGTGTGTTCCTTCGTCACTCGTGGCCGCCGCACTTCACAGGTTAGCCGCTTACGGATCCGAGTCACAAGGTGTCTTGCACGAGAGCTTGTCGGCGCTTCGATCGTGACACACCCCCCCCTCGTGCAGCTCGCCGTGCAAACCAGTGTACACTGGTCAACCAGGGTCTAATATACAATCCGGCATTCCCTTCCCACGGCATCGAATCTCTTCCACCTTTTCCTGTTTGCCAGTCAACCTCCAAACATGTCGTTGTCGCGCGCTTTTACAACTCGCCGGCTTCGAGGTGGCAGTGACCTCGCCGAGAGCGCCAAGATGCCTCAGCGAAGCAACACTACCAAGATTCCCTACAACATTCGCGACAAGATTTCAGCCCCGGTGCAGCTTCTTCACACCACCAACATGCTGTCCTATAATGCTCCCGATATTCCGCGCTCGTCTCGCAGCAATTCAACTACCAGCAAGTCAGGGTCAGATGTTGAATCCCAGGACACGGCAGATTCCACACCCCCCACCAGTCCCGATGTATCTTCATCACCAGAGCCGAATCACTTGTCCTGCTACTTCAAACCTGCCGCACCAGCATCGACGACCTTGCCCGTCGAGCCAGAGCCCCCCGCGATTCCCAAGCGTTCTCCCTCGCACACCAAGAAGAATTCATACGAAGCTATTGCCCGCCAGAGATCCGTCTCGCGCATGTCTCGAGATTTAGACCACTTCATTTCCACCAAGGCTGGCCAACCGATCTCTCGCCATCATTCAGCGGCCACGAGAGCTTCATCCGCCTCACACGCCCCATCGCCATTTGCCCAGAAGCAGTCCACGCCGGCGCCACGGCCAAACAAATCAACTGCCTCGACCCAAGCTCAGGCCAAGGATTCCCATCCCTTCGGACATGAGTTGGCCCAGGTCACTGAGCTCGCAGAAGAGTACAGCGTCAACAGTTGCCTAGACACCATTGACGAGGAACAGCAGTATCTCGATAACCGAGGCCTCAAGAAGCTAAGCCCAGATGACTACTTGAGCGCTATCCAGGGTCTTTCAACAATGTTCTTCCCCGAACGAAGTCACGCCACATCAGCCGCACCCCTCTGGATTTGAGCCAATCGTTCCTCGGCAACGGCCGAGACACGGGCACAACTCTTGTGGCGACTTTTTTTTTTCAACTCGCCTTTCGCTGTACATATTCAAGGCACTCATTTTTGAGTATATGAACGAACTGGCTGGTACGCTTCGCTCTTATTTGTGTCGCTCTCTTTCTTGTGTCAAAGCGGTGGAATCTCGCGGCAGAATGAATGAATGGAATTTTCGGACTACAGATACCAGCCTTTTTTTGGGGGCTGGGCCCCTCGGGCAAAGAGGGAAATTCTTAATGGTAGATGGCGTTTTATAAGAGACCAGACACGGGCTGATGACTTGAATGTTACGATGTGGATATATATCTCGAGCCAAATACTGAAGTTGGCAGTACAGAGCCCTTGGAGCGCACTTGCGATGCCTCTACACACTCACTTAGGGACACTGATGAATTAATTTCCTTTTACTGACAAATATCTGCCTCCGTGACGTGCAGCTTGACGAGCCCCTGGAATAAAGCGTGGTACACCGACGCCTCGTTGCGCCATGCCTCCTTAATTACACTGGGGATGGTGGTGCAGTTTGCATAAGGCAGATCGACAGTCTGCAACGAGTCAAGGAACCACATGCCGCGATGCCCCCCGTGATCTCCCCGAGCGGCCCTTCAAAACCCTGCACATACGGAGGCGGCAGTATTAGTAAAGCTTGTATCCAAGACTGAATCAGATGACATGTGTGCGTAGGTATGCAGCTGCCGGTGGTGTCAAATGTCGCACATGGCAACGACCAAGTCCACTACTTAAGTAGGCAAGCTAAGTACTACTAGTACTCTGCAAGCGGTGTCTCTGATAGTTTCCCCTATGTAAAAGACTAGGAATTGTCGGATAGAACAATAGAATTCTACGTCTAGATTGTCCCTTGTGAGCATGTATTGCGCAGCCCGTTGAGCGGTAGCGACGCTGGCCACGCCGCCTGCTTTTCTTTTCTTTTGTTTCCTTTTTTTTTCGATGCCCTCTTTTTATTATTAGTATTATTCTAGCGACTAGTTCCGCCAGGAGCTTCATTGTATTTGCGTTGCGGCACGTATGTAGTCTCGTAGCGCTAGTTGCCCACCGCGTGTGTTTGTCTCAAACAATTTGGGACTATTTTCCCCCTCTCCCCTCTAGAATGTTGTAGGTTTCCCCCCTAAGCCTATTGACGATTTATTTTAGTGGCGGGGGCATTCTTTGGAACGGCGGTTGCCAGGCGGGATGTCTTTGAATAGGGGTCCCTGCGGGTAACGACGGGTTTTCCTAATGCTGCACACTGGCATGGCCGGATTTTTTTTTCTTTTTCTCGTCTCGGACGGATTTTATATGGGGGTTAAGGGTTAACGGAGGGATAGGGGTATGTGCGAGGTTGCATCGCGGCGCTTTTGCGTGCGGTCACGCCTCGATGGGAACCGGCTTCTTGGGATGTGTCGTCAATCGGAGGGGGGTTTGATGGCCGGGCCGAGTGTGTTGGCGACGACGCCCAGCGTTTTGGCAGATTCGTACGGGCACTCCACGTCGCGATGAAGCATGTTGACGCAGGTCCGCCAGGTGGAATCTTGCACCTCCGTTCAATGTTGAGTGAGGGTGAACCGCCGAGTTGTGCTTCTCCTGTCCAGCGGCATGCTCCGCCCGCCGGCGACATGGAATCCCAAAAAGCAGACACGGACTAGTTGACGTCATCGTCGTCATTCCCAACCCTCACGCCTCACGTCACCGCCGCTGGCCCTTTTCGCCCGCCTGCGCAACTACCCGTCAGCGACATCGACTAGCCCCGCGCAGCTGTCGCAGCCCTCGTCACAAGCAGCCTGCTGACTTTGGGTGGAAGAGCACAACGGCGATGATGACGCAGACCCGGACGGCGAGCGGCTGGCGGCGAGTTTTGCCCAGGCCCCAGGCACGGAGGGACGAGACGAGGCGCTGCGCGTTCTCAAGGCCGCCCGGAGCCTCGACTTGGACTTCCGCGCAGAGGCCATGTCTTCCGGATACTGGACTTGCCGTCATTCGAGAAGGAGTAGCGGGACGAGTACGCGGTGAGTGCCCCGGGGTCGTTGAGAATACCGTAGTGGCCTATGATGATGCTGCCCGGACCTTGTTGGCGTGTTGACGACGAGGAGCATTATCTGGTGCAGTCTTACACCGATGGGTGTAGACAGGTGGTGACGGGCTCGTTGGAGTTTACGTGGATATCTTCTTTTTCATGAAATGAACCTTGGCTTGTTGTTTAGCAAAACGCTACTACTACATGAGAAACGCTAATTCCTTCTTCTTCTTCTCTCCTCTCCCAGGGCCGCGCTCTCCTCTGCACAGTCCCTCGAAACTCCTGCCTGGTTCAATGTTCCCTCACGATTGTCCTCTCATCAGCCGCCCTCGGCCCTGTTCAGCCTAGCCTAGCTGTGTGAATACCAAATATGGAAAAGAATGCAAAGTCTGCCTGTCCTCGGCAGACATCTAAAATTACACATGTCTGCAATGCGGGGGATATAAATGCCAGTTCGGACGACTTGAACCCCAGTATCAAAACTCCTTTGTTTGTTTGCTTGTTTGTTCTTGCGCCGCACAATGTGAATAAAACACACCCAAAGTGTTGGTTTTTAGTAAGAAATTTGTAAAAAAAAAAAAAAGAGAGAGAGAAATGGTAACCGCCTGTATGAAAAAGACTACCGCCCGCCCAGCGGCTCAACCATCTTGACAAGATCGCTTATAGTAACAATCTTGTACCCCTTCTCTTTCAGCTCCGGCAAAATCATCCTCAACATGGGCGCCGTCCACTCCCGCCTGTCGTGGCAAATGACAATGGCGCCCGGGTGCACCATGCTCAGGATGTGCTTGGCGTTCCTCTTGGGGTACGGAATCTGCGGATCGTGAGGGTACACGCTGCCCAGCGTGATGCGGTAGCCCCTGTTGCCCAGCATGTCGCGCATCTTGTAGTTGAAGAAGCCGGAGCCCGGGCGGTAGTAGTTGTTGGGCAGCGTCTTGCCCTCGGCCTCGTACGCGGCCACCAGCTTCGCCTTGACCTCGCCGACCTGCCTCTCGAGCTCGTCCATGCCCAGCTTGTTGGCGGGCTCGTCGTGCATGCCGTGGTTGGCGAGCTCGTGGCCCTCGCGTATCAGCGACCGCAGTGTCTCCTGCCGGCCGTCGGCCTGGGCGCCGATGACGAAAAAGGTCGCGTGGGCGCCGTGCTCCTTGAGTACGTCCATGATCTCGCCCGTGTGCGCTGACGGCGCGTCGTCGAGCGAGAGGGCCACCACCTTCTCGTCCGTCGTCACCTCGAAGAGCACGTCTGGGTACTTTTGGCGCAGGTAGCCTATCAGCGCCTTGGGCGGCTTGTATATGCAGTATATCGAGTAGATGGGGAAGATGAGGAGGAGCGCGAGGATGCCCAGCAGCGTGAGGGTAGCCATTCTATTGCGGCGTACTTGGCGCCGAAGCTTGGTTGGCAGGCGGAAGAGGGCGAGGCGCGGCATGAGGGCATTTAGATGGAGGCGAAGGCGGGGAGGATGGTTTGTTGATACCGTCGACGATGCGCGCCCGGTCGTGATGCCCGCAACGCCGTTTGATGTGTGGAATCTGGTGGGCTTCACTTCATCGGCATCGATTCGTGAGGTCGATCGATGAGGAGTCGATGGGGATATTTGTTGCTGGGACAGATGGATCGGAGAAAGAATGCCGATGTCGATGTCGATGTTGATGTCGATGTCGCTGTCGCTGTCGCTGTGTACGTGATTGAACTGTTTGATCTCTTCTTTTTTTTTTTTGATGTGCCCCTGGCTGCCACGTTCTTGTCTTGCTGCGCGTACGGAGTAGTACTACTAGTACTAGACCCTGCACTAGATGAAGATCCAGGGTCAATGATTAACTTGATCTTATTGGATGTCAGGTGCGTGAGCAGGGGGCGGCAGGGATTGGCGGGTCTTGGTTGAGTTCAATGTTGCTTTAACTGTTGCCTGAATGGGTTCCCATGGAAATAGACGCATGCACCGACTACAGTTATATACCGACAGCCCATCAGCCCACAGGAGTTTCATTTTGAACGCTGACACCAGGGCATAGACATGAGCAAGAACATGGTATCTGGCTCACTATCGCGCCTTCTACTCGCCATGTGCCACATAGGCTCTTCTCAAGAAAACACCTGCCACCTCCATCCATGACCTACTTCTTCAAACTTTCAAAAGCCTGCTCAATATCCCTCTTCAAGTCCTCAAACCCTTCCACGCCAATGCTCACTCGCAACAGTCTCTGGTCAACAAGCGGGTCCGTCATGGCCCGCCACTCGATCAAGCTCTCAATGCCCCCCAAACTGGTGGCGTGGTGAAATAATCTCAGTCTACTAGGAAGCTTCTTGGCAAGATCCATGTCCTTCATGACAATAGCGAAAACAGGTCCATACCCGGCAGGCATTTGTTGTCTCAGCCAGCTCCCTTCCTCTGCCGCCTCAGGCTGCAGACTAGCATGGTGAAGCTTCTCGACGAGCTGTCCGACAACAGTGGACGAGTCGCCGAGCTGACTTGAGAGCCATTTGACAAGTGCTGCCGCCGTCTGGCTCTGCCTAGCGACTCGCAGCTCCAGCGTCCGAAGAGATCTGAGTCCCAGCCAGCCCTCCATGCTGCCCATTACCGAGCCGAGAACGAGACGCTCTTCGCGGAGCTCCTTGGCCCAGCTGTTCCCGGGCCGGACTGCCAGAACGCCGCACAGCATGTCGGAGTGCCCGCCAATGTACTTTGTTCCGCTGTGCATGATGATGTCAGCTCCAAAGTCGAAGGGATTCTGAAGTGGAGGTGGCGCAAACGTGGCATCCACGGTCAAGAAGGCACCGGCTTTGTGCGCTTTGTCGGCGTAGAACTGGAGGTTGCGAGCTTCGCCTGTGGGATTTAACGGTGTTTCCACATGGATGATGTCGCCAGGCCCCAATTCGGACGGGTCACAGTCCAAAGGAAGTTTCTGAAGACCAGTTAAGCGGGAGACGACCTTGATGACGCCGTGGCACCCATGGTATCCTTCGCCAATGGCAATGCGCTTGGGATTCAGCCGAATAAGCATGGCATGGAATGCAGCCAGGCCGGAAGCATAGGTGAGCGACGGGCCGCCGAGAATGCTTGATAGAACAGCCTCGAGACGAGTCGTGTTGGGGTTGGAATCCCGCGAGTAAATATGCGAGTCCAGTGGAGCGTTGGGCTGGTAAACTATTGTCAATATTCGAGTACACCTTCCTGCCACACCGTGTCTAACGAGTTTTTTGGCCGGCTGAGGAGATAGACATGGCACGTCCAGGGACAGGTCATTATGGACTCACATCGGGATTATTCCAATCCCCCAGCTTGGTGGGATCCGCGCTATTCTTCAGCTGCTCCGGGTCATCACTGTATCGAAACGTCGTGCTGACATGCATAGCAGGTGCTACGGCCCTATGCGCCGAAATAGCATCATCTGCATGGACCGTCTTGGACGATAGTGAAAGACGGGCCATCTCCTCAGCCGGAACTCCGCTTGGTACTGATGCCATGTTGGGTAGCTAGCTACAAGTGCGCCAATGATCGGATGAGGGGCTCGGTCCTGAGACGTTTGCCAGAGAGCGTTAATATTCGCAACCTGGTGATGAGAAGCAAGCCTGGAGGGAAAAGGTGTGACTCCTCGATCAGATGCGGACTCTGGCATATATGTGAGAAAGCATAGGGCGTGGACCAGACTGCTATCAGGAAGCTAGTCACACTGGTTGATCACGGCATGGCAATTGCTGTTACAGAAGGCGTCAATGGCCAGGAATGGTGGAGCATTGACCCAGCATTGGCGGGGCCAAAGGCCGAAGGTGTATCGAGTCGACATGTATCGGAGGGCGCCAACGACAAATAGCCTTTCATCGAGTCGACTTGGCGCGGCCTTGGCCAGAAAAGCCGTTGCAAGGTCGCAACGAAGATGGTGGACTTTTCAGCGGAGGCTTAATAAGTGAATAAATCTCCATTGATATTATCGTCAAGTCATTGCATTATGGCAAACGCCAGTTCCCGCCCATGCCGATTTCACAATTCTCCCACGAATTGCTACACTATTATATCCCAGGCGAAGGCCCCAAATGCGCGCCATCCCATGTGTAATTCTATCAATGCAACCAGAGCGCCATACTCCCGTTTCCCAGACCCAGACTAGTTTCGTGTCTCGTCAGATAGCTTGGGAAAGTCCATGGTCCCAAGTTCCGAGCCTTGGCCACTTTGGCCACGCTTGCGCCCGGGCATCAGGAACCGGGACACAGTCGGTTGACCGTTTGAATCTTGCGACTCGGTCAGCTTGGAGAAGAAGCCGCGCTTCCGGGGCTGCTGCTTGTAGTCGTCTAAACCGACATCCTCGAATCCCTCCTCGGCGGTGGGAGGCTCGCGCTCAAACTGGCGGTCAATGGCTGATCTGGGGAGGCGACGGAACCGAGCAGAGTCTAGGCTCTGTCGTCCGAGACCGTCGTGGGAAATCACGGGTGACCGAGCCGTGATATCCTAAACAGTCATGTAAGCAGCGTTGCTGAGTGTCGAGGAATGTCTGGGTCTGGGAGAAAAAGGACAGACTAACAAATGATCTTCGGTAAGAATCAAATGATTCGCGGGAGATGGGAAAGTGCTCAATGTCGCCGAGGCTGCTCCCCGTTTCCGTTGAGGCCCTTGAAGACAGGTACTTGCGAGGCCATTGCCCCTTGTCCTCTGTTGGTGAGGGCTGTTTTTGTTGCGGACGAGACGGATTAGTTTGGTGGCGCAACGAAGCAAGGAGCCTGGCTGTTGGTACACATACCGGAAGGTATACGCCACTGTCATTCACAACTAACGATTCCAAACAGCCAAAAGGTTAGATTCGATAACTGCAAATGGTCTTGTGACAAAGGGAGCCAAGGCCACGGCCAGGGTCCGCGCCAGCACGAGAGCCGTGCAAGCATGGTCTGGTGGTCTGACGGTCTGGTGGCATCATGTCGCAGGCGGGTGTGGCGGGTAGGGGATCGGGTCACGCACCACTCATCTTGTACTCGCCAGTATCGTGGCTCCTGGTGCTTCGAATGCTGAGGGCCGACGACGCTTTGGATCCGACCGTGTCAACACGCTCGAAGCCCAGGTACGGATCTTGTCGCTCGGGGTGCAGGTTCTCGTCGTGTGCGGCGGCAGTGCCGGTGCGGCGAGCAAAAGGGTTGCGAATGGGCATCTTGGAGACGGGCGACGGCGACTACGGCCGAGCAACGACGACGACGACGGGTGGCCGAGGTTCAATGTTGCGAGGAGGAAATTGCGTACAGCCGGGCTCTGTCGACGATGGGAACAAGAGCCGCAGGTGGCGGAGTATACCAGTCTAGAATAAATGCCGACAAGGAAAATGCTATGGACAAGGAGGAAAGCGGCTAATGGCGTACAACTGTGTGGTGAAGTATTTATTTGATACGACGAACTGGACCGTGGCATGGCGTCGGCAAGGCGATGATGGGGCTTTTTATTGACTTTACTTGTAGGTCAAGTAGCATGGCACCGTCTGGTCCCGGATGGCATTGACTTTCTGCTATGCACATAAAGTTTGGAGGGCACACGTGCAAACCTCAGGGCTTGCGCCAGGGGCCAAGACAATTTTCCAGCGAGCCCGGCGCCTGCATGCAATTAACTAGAGGCTTTGGCTCAAGTGCGCCAAAGTCGACACTCGGCGCTCCACTGGTAACTGGGCGCTGCCCGTAGCGGTGGGGCTCATCAATTGATTGTTTCACCGGGTCGGACTTGCCAGGGCCGAGGGGCCACATCTGAACATTGAATGCCGCCGGTCGACAAAGTCGGCGCGACTGGATGCGACTTGATGATGCGCCGCGGCGATGCCCACCCCACCACCGTCAGTCACTGACTGCACCATGAGTGCAATTGTGGAGGCCAAGGCGGCCCAGGAAAGCATTGACGTAATACGCTGGACCTCGGGCCGTCCTCATCACTATGTATTTAGCTTTGCCCATTCCAGCTTTTCAGGTGCCTAACTGATTGCATCGTTGCTCTACAGGGGACAGAGGGAAACAAGGCGCCGTCCATCCCGTCAGATGAACCGGGCGCAACCATGGGGAAATCCGGGGCAGCACAACCTCTCCAAGCCCCATCCCTGCCAGAAAAGGATGAACTAGTACTACCCGTTTCGTTCGCATGATGTCAATGACGAATGGGACTGGCCAGTCCACCATCCGGCTCGATCCGGCTGTTTCGATGCTGCCTCCTCGTCGAGATGGGATTACACTGTCGGCTTCCTTTTTGGCCATTAGCATCGTCAACCACGCCTGCCAAGCTTCAATGTTGGTGCGCTGGTACAGGAGGCAAGAGGCCAACAAGGAAAACTTGTGTGGCGCAATAGGACACTGTACCGCACTGTGAAAACCACCAGGGTTCCGCACATCCGGTACAGTGCACAATCGGAATGCACGCACCAAGTCCTAAAACGCCAGGCTTGTGACTACCTAGGTTATAAAAATATCTATTATTGTCAGCAAAACCAGTCACTGAGAATTTATGCCCAGTCTCATATGAATAGGCAATTGCAAGAGTGAGGCACTTGTTCCCCCTAAATACAGAGTTGCTTTGTCCTCACCACCAGCGCAAGCAAATTAAACTTGACGACTTTGCTTTCTTATGCCAGCATAATGGGTTCTCACAACTGATGAAATCTAATTTATACTCCGTACCAGCCAGAAATAGAGAAGCAATTTAGACTCTGCAGATCTCATGGTGTCGGGTGGCGAGTACTGACAACACTGTTCGTTAACATCATGAGAGCCAACCGGTTGGTTGCGCGACAACAAAATGCTTCAAGCACGGACATCCATCTCATCTCGCAAACGATGCCCCCTCTGTCTCACTGTCCAAGTAACGAACCTACCGTGAGATTGTCCGAGCTTCGAAATCCGTATGCGAGGAGTGCGAGAGCTGATAGGATCTCGGCATTTTCCCGATTCGTACTAGCTGGCCAAACTGTCACGATAATGACCCAACAACTTGCTGGTCGAGTCCAGAAAGTAGCCCCCTTTAAGTGGGAATCCAGGCACCGGATGATTCCTTTTCGAGAATGTGGTGAATTTCTTCCAGAAGCTCCTTTTTCTTTCCGTATTGAAACCGGGTGGTGACTCGCTGGCTATTGATTGGTCATGGTCACTACGAAGCATTGTGATCTGCTGGGAGCAATCTCAGCCCTATGTCTCTCCCAGTAGTAGATGACGGGACAGCAGATGGGTTGACCAGGGGAGAGCTAGTCTAATCTGTTTAGCTTCTTGGCTCGGCAAAATAATCCCCTTTGGGCAAATGCCAGGGGAGCTGTCCCGTTTAATGGTATTTTTAATTTCCAGACTTTGCCGGGTTGCTCTTCGTCTTTGAGTCACCGGCGGGGGATTTCGTCCAAAAGGAGATATATATCTTGTCTATCCGCCTCCTTCTTTTCTCAAACCAAGTTCTTGGGTCTGTCCTACATTCTGTCGAGGCCTAACGAGCGGGACGCCTCCTTCATCTTACACCCATCTCGTTTCGTTGCAATCAAAATGGTCAAAGCAGCGCTCTCCGTCCTTCTACCCCTTCTCCTAGCAGCAGGCGCAGCTGCATTTGGCTGCAATTCCATCATCAGCTATACAACTTGCCAAGACCGCATCGTTCACTGGTACGACCCGGATGATGGCCAGATCTGTGATCCCCACGACTGCGGCGGCGGCCGAGCTCCTCCGAGAAAGGATGTTCCTGGATGTGCATTCTACACGGGGACTGAGACGTTGAAAACTGAGCCATCGTATCTTCCATGCTGGAAGCCTTCAACTGCCATGGCCGCCCCTACAGGAAGCAGTGTCAAGTCCTCGGTAGAGTCGACACCCACAGACACGGGCGTGGTTGCAAGTTCGAAAGAGACAACGACAGGCTCTTCTGTTCCCGCCTCGACCACTGCTTCTGTAGCTCCTTCAACAGCAGCATCTTCTGCAACTGGATCCGTCCCCGCAGCCGCTGCTTCTCCATCGACGACTCTGCCAGCTACCATCTCGACAACGACTCAGAGTGAAACGGCCACATCTGGAAATAACACAAATAAAACCGCTACCATCTCTACCACCTCTACACACACTGGCGATGCTGGAAGACTGGTTGGTGCATCCAAGATGGTCCTTGTTGCTGGTATCGTTGGCGGTTTTGCTTTGCTGTGACAGACATGAGGTCAACAGGATATCGTGGCAAGATGGCGTCTAGTGTAACAGGACATGACATAATAAAATTGAACGGATACCTGCATGCATGGAGTAGTAATACATTCTGTCAGCCCGTCAACGTAATCTGTGGCACCTGACCAGTCGCACAGTGATGAAGCAGTCGACCAATGTTGCATGTCCATGGTTGCACAATACCTCATTCCCTGCTGATATTGTCCATTCCGGAACATTCTACTCGCCAGCATGTCTCGGACCAAAATGCACAGAGTACGGAGTACGCCCGTTGTTCACGCCCAACCTCTGGCCTACCAAATGCATGTGCGGGAATTTTGTTTCTCTTGTCTCTTTTTTTTTTTTTTTTTTGGCGGTTTTTGATTTTTGGGCCTTGATTTCGCAGCGCGGCCCATCACCACTCGACTCGTTACTTGCAATATTTTTGCAAATTGAAATCAGGTGGTGTCCAAAGTGCCATAAGACTGTTTTTCTTTTAGTCTGACTTGCAGTGAGACGAAAGTGCAAAATTAGCACAATCAGGATTCACAACGTGTTTGGTTCAAGTTTCGTCAGATACACGGGCTGCTCGCTGGCTCTTGCTGATTCTGACTCTCTTTCACTCGGAACTGCGCCTGGACCCTGCCCTCAGTGCCTTTTCTTATTTTTTTTTGCCGCAGCCATTCGATTCCATCCGCTGCAACATGGTCGCATAAATAATGTCTGCCTCCCAGGACTTTTGCCGAATGTGGTCTCTAATTCTTGTTGTCGCCTGCACCTGAACCAAAGCCGACGGGGGAGGGAGGCTCAAGCATGACTTCCTTCTTTATACAATGGCAGCTATGGCAACAGATGACATTTGTAAGTCTTGTCGGCACACGCTGCACTGCCTTGCAGGAGCATTGAGTCCTGAACTGACTTGGTTATGTACTGCAGGTCCTTGCATGTTGCATAGCCACCGTCTTTCTTATCGGTCTCGTAAAGCTGTGGCAAAATAATCGAGAGCTTCGAAAGTACGAAGTTATTGACGAGGAACGGCGGTCTCGAATTACAGAGATGAAGCACTGTGGGGTCCGCCACATGAGCTACTCGAATGTTCCGTTTGGAGTACGAGCAATCGAACGCGGAGTCGAGGTTGAAGGGATATGGATAGCCGGTTCCAGACCAGCAGAGGCTAGCCAGACTGCTTCCTCTGCTCCTTCGGCCATCGAAGGCTCGAAACAGGCTGTCCCGGGCGGAGAAAAGGTATACTACTGCTTGGAAGATGCTCAGGAAAGCGTTGGCGAATCGTCGAATGCAGCATTTACCCGCTCCAGTGCGCTATCAGCACCCGATGCGCACCATGTGGCCGAGTATTCCGACTACGCTGTGGAACACAACGACGAGAATCGTGTGCCTGCAACAGCAGACGGCACTGCATATAAACCATCTGGGTCAGGCAGGGTTTCGTTGCAAGGCTCAGAGAGAAGCTTCACGCTCTCCCCTCAACAGATGGCCAGGCACAGGCCGAGGTCGAGGGCAGTATCACTGGACTCGAGTGTTGTCAACAACCTGCAGAACACGAGACAGGTTTACGGCTCTGCCCAGGTATTCGTGAACAGGACGCATCGCAGGCTGAACTCTGGGTTTGAAGTCCTTCCGGCGGGTACATTGGGTGCTCGATCCGAATTTCCAGCTGCAAGGCCTCGTTCAAGACGAGAGCGCCACAGCATAGAACCACAGACAAGGCCAACGCCTGCAAAATTACAGAAGCAAAGACGGTAGCCCTGCTTGCTATGGTGTATATGATGAGTTAGATTTTTTCATCTTTTTGGGAGGGCTTTTGTGACATCCGATCTCGGCTAGGGTAAATATCATTGCATGTAAAGTTGGTGCACGGAATATATATTCTTATTAATGACATAATTACCAAAGTGGATACGCATGACGGGTTAATTGGAGTTGAACTTGGCATGTTCCATCGTATTTGACCAGCCCAAGCGGTGCTCCGGGTACTACACAATAGTATTGCCGACTTCCTGAAACTGGAATCTCGTAGTTCGATCGGGTTCTCGGTGATAACGGTAACAGCCTAGTGCCAAAAACTATCTTGGAAACGGCCGTGATCCAATTGGCCAAAGCAACGGCGTACCCGAATAGAACAGCATTACCCCATCTGGATTCTGGAGAGTATATAAGTGACACACGCCTGCAATATCTACAATACTAATAAAGTTGTCAGCTCAGACGGAGTCATCTCACAATGCCGCCCCAGAAAGTCGCCCACGCCGCCGTAACTGGCTTCGACAACGCCTCGGCATATGACGTCCACCGCCCCTCGTACCCATCTGATGCAGTCGAGGCTCTGCTGCACAACCTCGACGTTGCCAACAGGCCTCGCGCGAAGATAGTTGATCTCGCAGCCGGCACGGGCAAGTTCACAGAGCTACTGGCTGCTCGAGAGGAGCAGTATGACATTGTGGCAGTGGAGCCCGTCGCCAAGATGCGCCAGAGTCTCGTAGGCAAGCATCTGGAGCATGTCGAGGTAATAGACGGACTAGCCACGAGCATAAATCTAGGCGACGGGTGGGCGGATGCCGTCATTGCAGCCCAGGTATGTTTATGCAATCCAGTCCGTGTATCCCTGACACCGGATGCTAATGAGGGTTCTCCCAGTCGTTTCACTGGTGAGCTTTGATCCCGCTGGACACAGCCGTCAAGGTCTACACTAATAGCAGCGCAGGTTTGCAAACGAGGAAGCACTGAAGGAGATTCGTCGGGTGCTCAAGCCGGGCGGCAGTTTGGGCATCATTTGGAACATTGAGGATTGTACGTGACTCCCCCAACAGCGGTTGCTTGACTACAGTGCCAACAAGCGTCAGATAACCAACCGGCGAATTGGACGGCTTCGACCGCCTGGGAAAAGGAATTGAAGCAGCTCATCCTTGCCCTCCCGCCGGACGGCACAAATCGATTCCGAGACGACAAATGGCGGGACGTGTTTGGGCGGCAAGCTCGTGATCCAGCGCCGTTGTTTGCCGTGCCTATTGGTCAAGAAAAGATCCCGTTTACGGTCTGGCTGACCAAGGAGTTGCTGTGGGATCGAATCCAGACGTTGAGTCAGTTTGCGGTGCTTCGAGATGCGGATAAGGATGCGTTTAGGGCCAAGTTTGATGGGATTATGAGCGAGGGGGACCAGGTCTGGAATGAGAAGGAGGAGGTTGAATTCCATGGGTTCACGGTGTATGCGTGGACGAGGAGGATTTAGGGATGAAAAGCAACATATTGATGGTGGTGGGAAGAGGGACTTCTAGATAGTAGCGAGAACAGGCACGTGGTGGTATCAAGACGATTTATTCATGTCCTTGGCGTGCTTTATGAGTCTGCCGAGATGTACATTACTGCATGCGAGTTAGTCGCTCCATCGTCAAGGTGGAAAAAAAAGAGAGAGAGACGGAAAGCTAGAAGATGCACCCACCATTGTTTCCTCGCACGAATGCATCTCCGTAATCCCTACGCTTCTTGCCGTTGATATACTCCTCCGTCTTCTCTAGCGCAATGTTCATGTAGCCGTCCACTGATTGCAATTCACCTATATACACGCATCCAGTTAGTCATGTGCACCATTCACATTTTGATGCTGCACAAACGGCGTTCATGTGCATCGTGGACAGGACGTTGCGGCAGCGTCTCAGGGAGCGCCTCACCCTTGTAGACGACGCCAGAGTTGAGTTTAACAATGACAGGGTTGCCGATGATGTCGCTCAGGAAGCTAGACGGGTCCTTGCCCTCGCCCTGTGAAATGCTGCCGTTCTCTGCCGAAGACATAGTGTGAAGAATGGCAATGACAGGGTGCTTCGATGGTGATGAATGAGGTTGATGGAATTTGGCGCGAGACTTTGCGGGTACGTAGCTTCTGGTAACAAAGTGGGGCGGATTGCACGACGTTCAAATGCTCGCACTGTGGCGGCGGCTTACTCCAATGAACTTCTTCACTGGCTCTGACGACTGAACAATATTTGAACCCGCTTGGGACAACCGCCCGCCAGCTGCAACAATCAAGGCGGCCACTTGCCATTGACGCCGACAAACAAGATTGAAACCAGACAATGAACCGCCCCGCCATCAGACGTTGCCATACTTCACATTCACGCACAATCCCGCCGAGCTATTTAATACGCGGCATCGCCTGAGCCCCGCGACACGTTGGTTATGCGTAGCACAGAGGCACGCATGGGCTCCAAGCCTTTCCACCGACGTGTTTGCGAATCCGCCCCCGCGTTTCCCCTATCACCACCATGATGGGCGAAGAGCCCAGCCCTTCTCGACCCAAGGCGAAGAAGCTTCCCTTCAAGCCGACAGCTTTGCGCAAGTCTGCGTCGCAAAGGCTAGCGACGCCGTCTGATGACACCAACGCTGATGATGATGGCCTTGACCTGTTCCGCAGGTCCAAGGAGATGGAGCCAATCGTGGCTGCCGACCGCGAGAGGAGGATGAAGAAAAAGAGGAAGCAGAAGCAGGAAGAAGAAGCGCGGCGAAAATCGGTCGAATCCGCCAAGAGGCCGCTGGATGATGACGAGGAAATAGATGTCCAGGCAGCTACGGGATCACACGAGTCTCCTCGGGTAGCTATGAGAAGTACACCTGTTGGTTGTTCTCCCAAAGATGGCGACGTCATGGCTAGGTTCGTACATACGTGTGCTTAGAATTCTGTTTTGTTTTGTTTTGTTTTGTTTATGTAGCTAACTTGGGTTTTACTAAACAATTCAGCAAGTTGGTTACGCCACCGGCCTCAAAACGAACGCGCCTAGACTCAACCCCGTCAAAGAGTACGAATCTCGACATGGAAAACACAGACATGTCGCTGGGCGATTCGCCCTCTGCTCGACTACTGCGGTCTCACACCAAACCCACGACGTCGGGCAGCTTGCACCGGGTAACTAGGACGCGAAAGGCTGCACCAGTCGTGCTTGTCGATTCAGATGATGATGACGATGGTGGTGATGTTCAGGTATCACGCAGCACTAAACAACGAGAAGCTAGCGTAGAAGTCTACGAGACCAGCTTCATGGCCACCGAGGAGGAGGACGAATTTTCCGAGTACGTTCGCAGGGCAGAGGAGCAGCGTGCTCAAAACCAGGCCATGCTCAGGGTCGGCGAAGATGGCGAAGCGACAAAGGATCGCATTGAAATTCTCGTCACATCGGAGGTCCCAGGCGCCAAGCCCTGCTGCTTCAAGTTTCTGTTTGACAAGCAACTACGCCTCGCTCGCAACACGTGGCTTACGCTCCAGCATCACAAAGGAATCCTGAAAGACGTCCAAAAGGAAGAAGATATTGTGCTTACATGGGAGAAGCAAAAGGTGTACACATTTTCTACGCTGCTGACCCTGGGTATCCGGCCTGATGGGAACGGGCGGGCCGTCGTGGACGGCAATAGCTCAAAGGGGCTGGTCAAGAATCGGAGGCAAGTCCATATGGAGGCATGGACGATGGATTTATTCCACGAAATGGAACGCGAGAGGGAGCTAAAAAGGAAGCGAGAAGCAGGTGAATTGTCGGACGAGGACGAGCCGGCGGCAGCAGAAGAGCCGCCTGCTCCGGAGGTCAAGATTCGCGTCATTCTCAAGTCGCGGGACTTGGAAGACGTCAATCTAACTGTGCGGCCAGAAACGACAGTCGAGACGTTGATCACTGGGTTCCGCACACAGCGATCAATAGGCTCTGATAAAGACGTAGGCCTGTGGTTCGACGGCGACAGGCTAGAAGAGCATGTCACCATGGACGAGGCGGATATTCATGACATGGACACGATTGATGTACACGTCAGGTGAAGGGCATTGTGTCTTGGAAGCACGAATAATGGATATACATAGACGGTCCTTTTGACTAACGGCTAGTTTTCTTCGAAGAACAAAAAAAAAAGAACAACAATACCCCCAATGAAGTGCACTTTTGTTCCATGTTCAGAAGCCCCGTGGCCGCGAGGATCCTTGAGAGATGATTCATTCTGCCTGCTCAGCGCCAGTCTGTATAGCTACCGTTGGTGACGCATTTTGTCCCAAGAAGCATATGCCGCCTCTTATTTATAACACGCGAGAGTTTGAAGCGGCGCCAACACACGCTCATTACCTTCCTCAGCCTGTTTTAACACTGTGTGCCCTGTGTGTACGCTCGTCCAGGACGCATTGTATTTTGTAGTGCACGTCGCACCCTGGTACGTATCCAATCCCTACATTGTTCCTGGCAACTATACCTAGGTAAGTAGGTAGTATAGACAAACCATTGCCACGAGACAAATCTACCCCCGGGAATCCTCGAGAACCGCTCATATATGAAGTCGAGCGTTCGAAAGTACGAAGCAGGTCTGCGGCGAAACTTCGAGGTCCCAAATACGCTTCACAGGACAGAGAGTCGCCAAGCCACAAGATGGAGCTTGAAATGATATCCCCTCCCCTTGTCGCTCGCCGCCACGGCGACAGACGAATGGCAAGACAAACAGCGTAGCAGGCAGTAAGCATCTTCTCGCCTGGGCCATGTGAATCTTCAAAATCCCGCTTGACTGCAAGCTCTACCCTTGATACAAGCGGCACTACGTCGCGCAGGCGTACAAAGGCGCCAAGCCAATGCCGTAGTGGACGAAGCAAAAGGGACAAACGACACATCGACCTTGTATAGACCCTCTCGGATGCGGTTGACGTGTCGTCGTGGCACCGCCTGCTGTCCTTCAGTGCCAACTTCTTGTCAGACCCGAACCTTGCGGCAACTCATGTCCCTGCATAGTGTGACCTTGGCTGCATAGGCCCGACGGGGTGCCTGGGCCAGGACAAGGACCAGGCCGAGAAGAGTTGCTACAACCGTTGCTTGGGACATCTACAGAGACGACTAGATGCACTCAGGAGGAGGGAGTCACCCAACTTCAGCCGCTGGAGCATCTCATACCCTGGTGGACGGTGAGCAAAACGCTTGTACATACGGAGACCACGCTCCCCGGGCAAAATCAGACTAGACAAAGAGTCAAATCACGGCAAGAGCGCACGTCGTAGCATTAAAAGACCCTTGATGCAAGTCTATGTATCGTGCGTATCAAGTAAACTACCCGCACAGTGAACAGGCCATCAATAGAACCTCCTCATGTACTCCCACCGACCACGGTTACTTTATCATCTATGCAGCGCGGCCCGAACATCCCAATCAACGCCCAAAACACCGGAGGAGCCTCCCGCTCTCTATGAGATATTGACTCCGAATTCAATAGTATATATATCCACAACAACTCCAGTTTCAAAAACTATACTTTGGTGAACCCCTTTCCTTTCCCCTTCCATGGTGCGTGTCAAGAGACATCAATCAGGTTGCGCATGTTATTAGGAATGGATTTTGGCGAAATAGTCTCGCCAAGTTGGTGCTCCAGCATCGTCGGCGTCGTAGGAGACGCAGTAGGGTTGTGGTCGCCCGCCACAGGAACTCTCTCCGGGGTTTTGCCATCCTGGCCAGGAGACGGCAGCGATACCACCAAGTTCGGCTCTACTTTGCAAGGCTTGCAATCTGGCAGCGGCGAACGAGCTCCCAGCTTCTTTGCCGAGGCAGCATCTGATACATTTTTGGATGCTTTGAAAGCCTGCAAAAGGGGATTTGTGGGAGGTGGTTGGGCGGCCTTGGTAGGTTGCTTTGGATTTTTGCTGCGAGGTTTGGCACTCTTGCCTGCCTTGGTGAGTGTGACAGGCTTCGGATTGCCAAAGGGGAGCTTGCTCTGTTTTGCTTCTGGCAAGGGTTTTCTCCCCGAGGACTGCAGCTGCGGCGGCGGCGGCGGCGGGCTTGCACGTGGAGTCGGGATCGCCTGGAGGTCCTCGGCGGATGTTGGTTTGCCGTCCAGTCGGACTTCGAATTTGGCTGGTGGCGATGAGAGCCTTTCCCGTTCCTGTTCTTTGGATACCAAGTAGTCATCTCCAATCTCGCAATCCCACGGCGGCAGAGACGCCAATCTGGCGATATTGTCGCAGGTTGACTTGACGACGAGATCCCAGCAGTCCTTGAAATCGGGAATCTTTGGCTCCGGGTCGATGTTGAGCCAGGCGGTGAGGCCATCTTTGCGGCCTCGCGCAACCTGGCATAATTGCTTCACAAGTCGTCGCGTCCCCGGTACTTTGAGTGTCGTGCCTACCACCAGGACTGCATCCGGCCGGGCCCTCAGGTCGGCTCGCATGACATTGCCAATGGCGTCCTCGTCGGGGTTGAACTCATTGTAGAGCACAAATCGCGGTCTTAGGCGTCCAATTCCATGGCTCCGCTTGCCTGCATGAGCCGTGCGCACTTCATCGAGGTTTTTGCAGGATTCGCAAAGCGGTGCCTCGGGCCCGTCGAAAATGTCGCCCTGGAACGGCTGAATATCGGCGCACTTGGTGCACACCATCTTGTCGAGACTTCCGTGCAGCTGAATGGTAGTCGGCCAGGGGGCTTTTGGCTCGAGCGGAATCTGGGTATGCAGAGGCTTCATTGACGTGTCGATGCAGTCGATATTTTGTGAATAGAGGCGTAGCAAACGTCCTTCTTGAGCGAGGGAGGCCAGCAGGTGGTGGAAGGGCGTGGGGTGAGCATTCTTGCTCATCTCGCTCATTTCTCGGACCATGGTGTGAAAGGACGAGGTGGACGACTCGTGTTTGTAGACGGACGCGTCAAACAGGTGCTTGCCCGAGGCCTTGAGCTTGTGCTGGTTGCGTTGGGCGGCAAAGAGTCCAGTGGAGGAGCGGAAGTCGGGAATGCCAGCCGAGACGGAAATGCCAGCTCCGGCCACGACGACAATCTTTTTCTTCTTGCGCAGGGCACCGAGCAGTCTCTCCATATGGAAATTGTCCTCGTGGCTGAAGTCGTCGTGTGACTTCATCAAGTCGAGGTAGGCGGTGATGCGCTCGCGGGGCGGCGTGATGCGTCTCTTCTTGGCAGGGCGCGGGCTGTCGTCGACGGGGTCGCCCAACTTGATGGGTGATTGCGTTCCCGAGGTCGAAGTCGAGGTTGGCGAGGGATATCGGACGCCGGCGTCTGGTTGCACGTCGGGCGAGCTGGGCAGAGACGGGGTTTTGGAGAGACTTGACAGCGGGGACGCCGTCACATTAGACAGCGGACTCGAGGTAATTTCTTCCATGGCTGGCTGGCAGTCCAAGGCGAATTGCAAATTGGCGACGCGGTGCTCCGGGTGGTTGGAGGTGACGAGGGAGCCGAGGAGCCGAGGAGCAGAAGAGCAGAGGAGCAGGCGAGGTAAAGAGGAGGCAAAGAGGAAACGAAAAAGCCCGACACAACACAGAGATCCGAGGCTAAATCATTGCGCGAGCGACCGAGTGAGGATTATTGTTGTTGGTGAGTTGTCTTGATGCCGAAGGGCAGAGCCAGTCCCAGACGGCCAGGCTTTTTATTAAGCAGGCGTATGCAGATGACAGTGCCCCAATTTCCTAATGGGCGTCCCGTTGAGTGAACACGGAGTTGCCAGCTGGTGAACAAGGACGAAGGCAGTCAGGTGTTTTGAGAAAAGTCGAAAGACGGTCGACGAGCGCCAAATCGACACGACAAGCGGAGTCGGTCGGAAACGGGAGAAGCGGGCGTCTGTCTGTCTTGTGGGCGTGAGCGTGGGCGCGGGTGGACGGCGCATGTACTCCGTAATGGCTGGGGGGATGATGAGACGGGTGATTGGGGGAGGCAGTGACTTGCAGAGCCCAAGAATGCAAAAGCCAAAGGGAGGCTAAGAGCACAAGAAGGCGTCAGTCATGACTGATCAGTGGGTTTATTTTTTATTTGGCGTCAATGCGGCTGGGATGCCCACCACATTCAACGTTTAATGCTGCTCCATGGCCATACATACATAGAGGACCTAGGTAATTAATTACTCACGACCTGACTACGCCGGCAAGCGGCCGAAAAAAAAAGAGGAAGAAAAAAAATGAGGAAAAAGACGACATCCAGACTCTGCCTCCGTTTTACCATCAGCATGCCGCCAGGCGGTCGAGCCAAGGTGCACCGCTCCATCACCATCCCGGAGGGGCCATGGCCAGAGTGCCCGCCTCGTACGTACGCAAAACTGCCATGCGGATTGCCGAACCCCACACCCCAAAAGGCAACTTGGAACATGCTCTGGAAATTTATGCACTCGGTCGAGTGTCCATGTCCGTCTCTACATATCACTACTAGTATGCACAAAGAGCGTGGTCCCATGCACAGCCGTTTCCCAGGAGACGCACCAGGCCCCTTGGCCCCGCCCTGCATTTCAGCCCCACCAACTTCCAGAAGCCGCAGCCAAGTCTCTGCTGATTCGTCAGCTCCACATTCTGCCACTAGGCCGCAATGTTTGGAAATGCCTCTCTGTTCCTGCACCGGCTTGCGGACGGTGTAACAACTTCATGGCACTCCAGGTCCCGGTGCACGAGCAGAGTTGTTTAAAAGACCCTCGTCCCCCAGTATTATACAAAGCTGCAGATTCTTACCCTGTCCAAGTGCTTCAAGACGGACTCGAATTTTCACCATGTAGCTTGTACTTGGCCACCGACGCAGCCGACCATACTGTTGACCCAGATTGTGCCTCCCTCTACCAATCCAACATCATGTACGGACTATCTAGACACGATTATACATGCAGGCAGCCACACAGCTATTTTCAGCAATTCAATCTTGTCCCAAATCCAAGTCGACTCGACAACTACTAATCCTAGTCCCTGCATCAAACGTAGCCACATGCGCAATAGTAGTTACCAGTTTACATTATATATATACACATAATATACATATATGTACATCACAGGGAGATGAGCAAGTCTATGCCAACGCCAAGTCTATCAATACACAGATT